TTTTTTTATATAATATTTTATGGTATTATAATTTTTAGGAATTTTTACATTTATAAAGATAATGGAAATGTTGAGTCTATAGATTATGAAGTAATCAAGTATCAGTTTGACCATAAAGAGGATCAAAAATGATATTTTTTCCTTCAATTTTTTACAAGGACCTTAAGAATAATTAAAATTTAGGAAACAGCTCCTTATGCTTTTGCCTACCTTTGTAACAAAATAAAAAATTTAGGAAAATTGTAATCTTAAAGAACAATTTGTAACGTGGAGTTTTCATGATAGAGGGAATAAAAGTAGAATGAACAAACACATTTAAAACTTTAAGTTCATGTTGCATTTTTTTTTTTTGAAAGGGGCACTTTTTATATAACTGGAAATATACAGAGTACACTACCCTAAGAGGGTGTTTGAATCATTGAATTGAGGATCTCTGGTGGGAATTTTTTTTTTCAGATTCTAATTCTCACGTTTGAATGGAAAATATTCTCAATAGGAGAGTAATAAAATATTCTCAACAGTAAAATTTTTCCTCCTTTTACCGGGAATGCTAATCCTATGCTTTGCTTAGGTATTTTTTATTTCCCTTCAACTTGGACTAAATTGCCCTTGAAACAAAAGATTTATTTCAAAAATACCCTTACTTTTATTTCAAAAACTATAGTCTTTTGTTTTCACAAATTTATTTCAAAAATTTATTTTCACAAATTATCATAACTTTTTAAATATTAATTAAGATTAAAAGAATATATGGTATATTTACTCTTTTAATCTACCCATTTATCTTTTAAATTTTGTAAAAAAAATTATATAAATTTTATGAATTTAAATTTAATAAAAAATATATATAAATTGAAAATAATACAATAATATATTTTCTATGAATTTTTATATAAATATTTTCATTTGAATATTTGGAATTCAACTTGTTAAAAAATATCATAAGGACAATTTAGTAAAAAATGAATTCCAATAATCTTTTATTTCTTTAACCAAACACTGTAATCATACATTCCTGTCAAACAAACCAAACACAATAATGTAACATTCCCAGTAATGTGTAAGGTAATGTAACATTTCGATAATCTTATTATCGGAGGTAATGTTACATTCTATGAACCAAACGCCCCTTAAAGGTCTCATTAAAAAACCTCTCTAATTCTAATTGTAGGAAAAAGAGTGCACATTGGAGTGTAATAGAAAGAACAATCGCAGGGGACATACATAAACAGAATAAAAGACAAACTTTCAACACAAAGGAATCAGCAGCAGCCGGTAATACACATGGCCAGCACGAAGAGTAAAAACACACTAAGTACTGACACATAAACAAAACAATTTGTAACATCACACCATAGAAACTGGGACCATCCCGGCGACCAATAAGCACGCACTCAGAGATTCTCGATATGAAAGAAACCATCAACCTCATAATACCACAAGCAATAACTTACACCAGACAACAAAATACACACTCCACGACACCATCATTCAACACGAATAATCCAACTATCTAATCTGAATAATCTCATCCGAGCTAGAAATGAAATCTTGCACGAAGCAATGAACTTAGGACTAATAGAGCTGTACCTGAACCAAATGTTAACCATAACAACCTCAAAAATATGATTTAAGCATGAGGTTTTCTAATTTAACATGGCATTATTTCTGGCTAACCAAATGGACCGGATGAACCCAAATAACTCAATACTCCACACTTTCCTGCCAACTTTAGACAATGAAATACCATTCCAACAAAGACGAAAAGTACCAAAACTACATGGACAAACGAAATGCAAATTCCAAATTGAAAACCACCTTTGCCACAATGGCCAAACCATCAAACAGTGACAAAAAAGATGATCAGTGGATTCAGGCTCTTTTCTATAAAACAGACACAAGCATGAGTCTCGAATCACCACGCCACGCTTAGCTAATTCCTAAGAACACCCATATTTCCTAAGAAATATCAAATGCTCATCCTCTAAAACCCATTTTGATCCTCTAACAACACCCAAAAACAAATCCAACTTGTTTCTTAAAGATCAAAATCAACTTTTTCCCTTAAAATTTCAAGAACACAAAAAACAACACACTATCCTTCAAACCCAAAACCAAACTTTCCTAACCTTAAACCTACAAAATACTACCCAAACACCCAAATCATCGGCCAAAAATACCTGAACCAAGACTTATTCAAACCAAAAATGTAGGGAAAAAGCAGACTCACCCAAAACGTGTTTCCCTCCAATGATGGCAAGCTTTCATTCCTTACATTCTTTCAAGATCTTAGTGATGACTTTGCTTGCTTAATCTTCGTGTGTTTAATGATATTGAATGGAAGCCTATTTATACTAATGATTTTGGCTCGGATTAATGGTTCCCGCTCAAAACCGTTATAAAAATGGTTGCAACGTCTTGATTCCAGAAGCTATAATTTTTCTCTAATTTTTGTATTTTTTTTGCATGATTCGAAATGTTCGAAAGAAATGGGGTGAAGACATGCAGTAATCTTGGGATCTTTTCCAAGTTAATGTTCCAAACACCCTAGTCCGAAAAATAATTGATTGAGTGAATTATTTAGGGATTTCTTTTTTTCAAACACAATATTACAACCATTTCCCACTTTCATTAATGTACCAAAATATGAAATTAGCTTATTAGCTGCAATTAGCATAATCGATGAAATATAACCTAATCAATTTATTCTTATTTATAAAAATTTTATTCTTTCAGAATTATTTCATAATAATAATAATATTTTTTATTTAAAGTAATTTTTTATCATTTAAATATGTATCTTTCTAAAAATATATTTTATAAAATAGATAATAATTGATATAATTAAAGATACATTACAAGATTTTCTTTTAATTAACCTAAATTAATCTGACTGACTTGAAATAATTTTAAATATAAATTTTTAATAAATTCAAAAATTAAACTATTCGAATACGGATAGTATAAAATACAATAATTTTTATCAAATATATGGATTTATTTATTTTTTATAATATAAATGAATATATATATATATATATATATATATATATTTGTAGTTATTTAGTTAGTTGGTTGGTTGGCTAGTTAATTAGGATCCACGTACACTTATTATAAAATTTGTTGCTTCTATATCCTTTTTATTAGTGTTAGATAAGGAAAATTAAAGATTTAGATTAATTTTTTATTTTTTCAATGAAATTTTTTACATTTCCTTTCATCTCAATCTTTAATTTTCTTTATCAAATTATCATGAAAAGTGTAAAATTAAAAAATTTTACATTATATAATTAGATCTCGTCCATATATATATATATATATATATATATATATATATATATATATCGAAACCTGAGTAGTAAATATACTTCCAGGATTGAATTTCATACTCAAATGAATCTCGTAATAGTAAGAAAGTATGTTTTTTAGCGGTGGGCTTAGCAAAATAAAAATTAGGATAGGGCCCTACAAATTCTCCTCAAAATGGGACATGAGAATTTCTTCTCGTCCGGCTCAAATATTTACACCAAATAAATAAATAAAGATAAATAAAAAAACAAGCAGTTTTCGCTTTCAAATTCTAAAATCCCTCCCCTAAATAATTAATAATTACCTGTCAGACATCCATTGATCAAATTTTTCCGATCTAATAACTATTTGCTGACATGGACGGAAGATTCGTGCATCCCTAGGTTTTCGTCCGAGCTGGCGCCACGCAAAAAATGCACGAATCACCACTCGCGCCTTTACAGGAAAACTGACATGATCCGCGCCTTCCATAAATACCCCCAACCGTCTGTCGCTCCATTAATTATCACCTCATACAACTCTCAAACCACAACAAAAAAAACACTCTCCTTCTTACTTTTATCATTCCTTCTAACAAGTATCAAGTGGATTATGTTATTGTTTTTAAAAGGTAAAATTATTTTTTATTATATTATAATCATTAAATATTGTATTAATTTATTATATTTGACTATGTTAATTTTTTTTATGTTTTGCAGTTATAAAATAGAATGTGGGTTGATGCATTTAGATATGAATCATATCTCGAGTAATTTTGTAAATTCGGTAACAATTTGAAATTGTGTTATGTTAATTATTTTGAATGTTTTGTTTTTTTAGTATTAATTTGTATACTATTTATTTAATTAGATGAGTGATTGTATATTAGATCCATTTATTCGTAACACTAAGTTAAAGATATCGAATCTTGTTTGGACGTATTTAGGCGAGGCTGAATTTGATTACATAGTTAGATATGAATGGCATTGTAACCTTGAATCCAACTTTATTTCTGCACTGATCGAGAGGTGGAGACCAGAGACATACACATTTCATTTATCGTGTAGGGAGTGCACTATTACGCTGGAGGATGTTTCCTTACATCGGAGCTTTCGGTAGATTGGGATGTCATTTCTGGTGTGACAGATGGTAATTGACATTCTTTATGCGAGGAGAATCTTGGACGTATCCTGTCTAATTTCAACTGTGGTCGAATATCGTTATCATGATTGGTTATAAACTTTAAACAGTTGAGCGACGTCTGTTCCGAGGAAGATGCTAAAATATTTGTCCGGACTTGCATATTACGACTCATAGGAGGGATCTTGATGCCCGATAAATCTCCCAACCAAATTCATTGAATGTGGTTGCGTCAACTCGTCGATTTTCGAGTTGTCGGATCATTCAGTTGGGGCTCAACTGTTTTGGTATCTCTGTATAAAGAAATGTGTCAAGCAACTGATTATCAGAAAAATGCTTCGACGGATGTCTAATAATTCTACAGTCATGGGCGTAGTATCACATGCCCTTTTTATTTACGGTGCTGAATAACATATTAATCTTCCCGTTATCGCAAGTAATTTCAATATGAGCTAGTATATAAATAATTTTTATATAAATATTTTATTGTTGCTATCAGTGGATTAGAAAAAAAAAGAAAATCAGCTCCAAGGGAGATTGCTCCAATTGTTGTATCGAATCATGAACCCATATTCTATTTCTATGAATTATTTCCGACAATCGTTGAATCAGAGTCCCATGATTCAATGCCCTTTGTCGGAACTATAATTAGAGCAGTGCAGGTAATGTACAATCTTAATCCTAGTTGTCTTCTTACGAAGTTTCTGTTTTCGTGCACTAAAGCTGTTCTTTTTATGGATTATAGGTTATATATGTCAATAGATTCTCACCTGCATCTGAAAAGAATGCGGTACATGAAATAAAGGTAGAAAGTTTCTCTAACATCTGTGTTTTGGGTTGTTGACCTTCTCGTTTCAAAACTTGGGTTGAGGAAATGAAGCTTTACAAATGTTTAAAGTCTAAAGCATTGTTTGGTAAACTGAAAAATTAAATTTAGAATAATTTTGGATAAAAAATAATAACCATTTGAATATTTTATTTTATTTAAAATATGAGATAATTTATTTAAATAATTTTTTAAGAAAATAAAATAAACTTAATATTTTCAAGAAAAAACATATTTCCGTTGAAAATTTTGCATTAAGTAGAAGTTTAGTACCCTTATCAAACACAATTAAAAAAATAGTTAAATGTTTCAACTTTTTTATTTGAAAATGTTTAGTGCTTTCTCGAACACACCCTTAGGCCTTAGCTAAGTCTAAAGAAATAATTCCATAGGTTTCTTTATCAATTTATTAGCTATCTGATACAGAAGCGTGCTTTCAAAGATATGAATACAGAGAAGGGCTGCATGTGATAAATTTCCTCGAGTGTTACTGTTTCCAGAGGGAACCACAACTAATGGAAAGGTCCTTATGTCATTTCAACTTGGTGCATTCATCCCGGGTCATCCGGTTCAACCCATTATTGTTCGTTATCCTCATGTACCCTTTGATCAATCTTGGTAGGACTTGATTTCTTTGGTCTCTAATGTTCTTTTTTCTTTTCCTCGCACTTGCTAATTACTTTTGGTCTTGATTGTTTAGGGGGCTTATTTCTTTGGCTAAGCTCATGTTTAGGATGTTTACTCAGTTTCATAATTTTAAGGAGGTCCGTTATCTAGCTCATTCAATTCAAAGTTTCAATGTTGTATTCCAAAGTCCAGCAGATTTCACTTTTTTTAAAAAAAATCGATTTCACGTTTTTTCTTAATTGACAGGTAGAATATCTCCCTGTCATTATGCCCCCAAACAATAAAATACAAAGTCCTGTCCACTTTGCTGAGAGGGTGAGTCTATACTTGTCATTTGTAGTTGTTACTTCGTTTCGCCCTTGGTGTGTATTTTTAGTTTTTAAAGAGCTCAAATCCAATGTATAGATTCGTTAAAGTAGTCTGTAATGTATGTTTTTTTTTTCTGTAGTGTTGGGTTTTTTAGATTATTGATTAGTTCATATGTGTGTTGGCAGACTCGTCAAGCTATGGCAAGTGCTCTGAATGTTGTTCAAACATCTCATTCCTATGGGGATTTAATGCTCCTCATGAAAGCTGCTGAAGTACAACAAGTATGTGCTTCTCTCAATGGTTTTTTATGAACTTGTGCTTCATCTGAATATCTATTTGTTTTCATTCTATATTGAGCTTTGAATTCAACTGTCTTTTTATAGTTCGTGTTAATAGTTTTTTAGCATAAATTTTGCAGGGAAGACCCTGGAATTATATGGTTGAAATGGCCAGGATTGAATCAGTGAGTCGGGCACTGAAACTCTTCTCTCTTGAAACATACCTCATTCTCTTTGTCTTCTATGAAAAACTTGATTTAACATTGTCCACATTGGTTTCTATGAAGTTGCTTTCTCCCTACATTTTTCGTCAATTCAGTTTCCGACTTGGTAAACGATTTAATATCATTATGCAGCTGTTTCAGATAAGCAGCTTGGAGGCTGTGGACTTTCTTGATAAGTTTCTTTCAATGAACCCTGACACTAGGTATTGCTAATGTAGCAGATCTAGACTTGTAGTGGAAGCAGAAAGATGTTTACTCCTTTCTTTTTTAGTAATTTTTTATGTTTCAAATCATCTCTTCTTGCAGCGGTTGCGTTAAACTTAACGACTTTTTGAGGGTTCTACGATTAAAGGCATGTAAACTTTCTGAAGAGGTCAGTTTCCCTTACCCCTGTCTATTGATATTTGAGAACTGATTAACTATGAACACTTTCATCTTGTTTGCTTAGTTTTGCCACCTTTTCCTTTTGATTGTATTGTGATTATTTCCTCGTACAGATTTTTGGGTTCCTAGATGTGGAGAAGAATGGATCGATTACATTTAAGCAGGTAAGTTCTACTTCCGGTTACTACCTCCCTCGAATTGTCTACTTCTGTTTAATTTTTGCATGTTAGCATCACGCTATAGCATGTTTCTGCCTGACCATGTCGATGGCAACATATTCACGGAAAATCATACTGCTCTGATCTACTATGAAGTTGTGAATGCCTTTGGACTCACTACCTTTCCCCTGCAAGTTATGGTTGGACTCATCACCTCCTTCTCTTCGTCATTGCCACTACTGCTACCATATTGCCTTGATGCTACGTTTAGTAGGATACATGAATTAGGAAGAATAAACTAACTTCACTTGGTAATTTTTAGCCACTCAAATAGCTTAGTTTGGACCAAGAGAAGGAATAAACATTGCTTATTTGGGGGCTTACTATACTGGTTTATTTTTCTTCGTGGCAGTTCTTATTCGGAGTAGCTCATGTCATGAAGCAACCACTATTCATGCAAGCCTGCGAACTGGCATTTGCCGAATGTGATGTGAGGGGAGATAACTACTGTATGAAGAAGTATGCTGCTCTTTCTTGCTTGCTTTTATACTTTGTGCCTTGTGCCCAGAAGAGTACCTTAAAAGCTCTTTTGTTTCTAATTTCTTTTGGAACAGTTGGCAGACATCCTTCGACAGGCAATTCCAGACCTGAATGAAGACCAGGTAAATAAGAGAAGTGTATAGATTGGTTATGCAATAAGTAAATTTTTGGGTGTCATTTTGTGACCGAAATATGCACCGATGGGTTCATGTAGGTCAATGGGCTATTCAACCTATTTGATACGGACAATGATGGGAGAATCAGCCGAGATGATTTCGTTTCCTGCCTGAGAAAGAACCCTTTGCTGATAGCATTGTTCTCACCCAGATTGCTGCAAAAGGACTTTCCAAAATTAGCTGGTGATAGAATGCCGGAGGAGATTGTTTGATAGATGGGCCGTCATCTTCTACAATGGAATTGTTTTTGTTATTGCTTTATATATTTATGAGGAAAATTCCATTTATAAGAATATGACTCGTCGTATTAGTGTAAAACTAATTTAACTTTATAAGATAGGGTTCTACATTTTGTCTTTCGCGTTACACTCGGTATGCTTCATAAGATTTGGCTTCTTCGTCTCTTCCATCAGATTCACTCCACCTCTTCTCAAGATTGAGTGGAATTATACATCATTAATTACTGATTCTACTGATGTGGCATGGTACACCATTAATTACGGATATGTAATATATGCAATTAATACCATAACATTATCTTCTCTGAATTGTTTCTTGAACTAATACCATAATACAATTATAATGTAATGTAAATTGATTATAAAGAAACTAGAAATCTAAAAAGAAAAAGAAAAAAGTTACATAAACCCGATATCTCTTTGCATTTATGGGGAATGAACAAACCCAGGCGCCCTAAATACAAACTATAGCCCAAGCAAAATTGGGCACACTTGGTCAAGGCAAGAGATTTTAGCTAACTATGAACATAAGGTTCAAAGAGTTTTACACAAGGATTTGGATCATACTGTGTGATATGAGCAGCTCGTTCAAACTCCTCTCTTAGAACTCTAATGCTGAACTTGTCCACTACTCGTCCAAGGTCATGAGAAATCTCGAACGGATCCTCTATGCAGATTAAATGCCGATCATTTCCAACTCTCCTTGTCCAGTCTTTCTCTTGCTTACTGTACAAAGAAATTTCATAAATGAGATTTGAATCTAATCCCTCCCCCCACCCCCAAAACACACACACACAAAAATTACGAGCAATTCTAAAAGATTAGAAACATGTTTCATCCTGCCCAAATATTGTAGAACTCTCGAATTTCTAGAACTGAAAGAACCAGAACGGCAAGGCATCTAGCATAAGATGGGGACATAAATTCATGCAATTAACTTGCACTTGCATGTTCAGCAATTGTCGAGAGAATCTCTATCTCACCTGATTATGCTTCCTGTGCGAACAGATATTACTGAATTTGCATAATCGTGACCATACGCCCAATAGTTAAAGAATCCCCACACCAGTTGAGCAACAGTTTCCTTGTTAGGAGAGCCAAAGTTGCTAAGTTGTTCAACTTTGTCAAAGTAAGCACACTCAATATTATCCACAGTGATACTGTAGGTTTTCTCCATCCCCTGAAAGAGAATTAGAAAAAAAAGCAAAATTCAAATGTTAACCCAACAACATTCAATCACAGTACTTGGCAAGTAAAAAGAAATAGAAAAACAAAGCTTCTCATTAAATGTTTCACGCAAAGGAATAGAGGCTGTGATAGATCCAACATGGAACTAACCACATGCTAATTAATAACCGTAAGATTTGTCATGAAAACATATTAAACAATCATACAGACTTTTCCACTAGTTACATTATATAACTCTCATTGTCTGCCACACTTTCATTATATTATGCAATTGAAAATGGCGACGCAACAAATAGATATCAAATTATTAAATTCCATTAAGTTTTGCTCACCCCTAGTAAAGGTAGATAAAAATTCAAATTACTGAGTTCCATAAGTTTTTGCACCAAGAAATAACATAAATGAGCCATATGAAATAGCAGATATGGGAAGCAAGAAATCCTACGCACCTGCAAGCATGGAAGGATAGCAGGTCTACGTTGCTGTAAGAAATGGATGCACATCAAAACATACCTGCAAAGAAAATGCTAATTAAAGACAAAACTTGAGCACAAGCAAAAATGTTTCCTACTCTTTTCTAGATGCACAAATCCTAACTACAGTGACCGTCATTAGCTTGTAGTTTTATCTATGCTTACACTCCAAAGCAGGCTAAACAGCCTAGCCACTAGCACCAATTGGAATTTGCTGCACAAGAATTACATTGCTGATTATTGGAATAGAATTATAGTTGTAAATAACTTACGCATAGCTGGATAAAGTTCCTCGATAAGTTTCATTTACCCCTCTGGACTTGGCCCAATGTTTCACAATAAAAGCTAACTGTCGTACTCTGGCATCTATCTTTGCATAATCCCGTAGAAGCTTAGTATTTATTACAGCCAAAACATTGTTTATGCAAATGTCACAGGAAATTCCAGTTGTTGGATCCATAAGCTTTACTATGGGGACTCTAGCACGAGTCAATGCCTGCACAGGAGGCAAATGGTAAGTTATACTCTATTTTCTGTGTAAGTGTTAGTCTACACTTAAGGAGAATCTGTACAAACTTCATAAAAACATAGTAGCAGGAAAGGACAACAAAAAGGAAGAGTTTAATGGAAATATAACACAAAGATAACAAAGAATACTGAACCTATCTTCAAAAACTAATATAAATCAGATAATGAATAAAGGGTATAAATTAAAGACTTTTTAGGGTGCATGTACTTATTCAAATTTGGAACAATATTCTCAACTTATATTAACATCCACCTAGAAAAGCAGAAAAGTAATAAAACAATCAAGTTTTAAAAAAAGCCATAAGCAGCGGATATAAATAAAATAAATTAGAAAACTGATCAGTTAAAGAAAGCCAAATTAGCAAATTGAGAACATTAATAGAACATACTGAAAATCTAGGAAACTATCTTAATACCAATTTAAAAGGGAAAAATCATGAGGTAAGATCTCACTTATAGTTGTTTGCGTTAAATTTTAAAGGAGTTAGCAATATAACCAACCTGTACATTCTGAAGATTATCTGACTGCAAAATATCTGCCAACTTTAACAAGACTTCAGCTTTGTCGTTAATTTCCTCATTAAATGCAAGACAAACATCAATGTCACTTTTAGAAACCCCGAAAGAGTTGGCACATGATCCATAAAGAAATAACTGTGCTTTTGGCCATTCTTTGCAAACTAGTTTCTCAAGTAATGCCAATATCTGTTTCTGCTTAGTTCTTTCCTCCTCAGGCGGTATAAGTGACTCATAAATAGCAAGCAAAGGTGCATTTAGCCTGTGAATGTCACCACAACACGGCATCTGTCTTTTCAGCATTCTAACTCTCTGGCTGAGTAACCTTTGGCCTCTGTTATCTATTCTGGATTCCTGATATGAAAATCAAAAGTCAATACCAAATTTAAACTAGAGTACATTTGGACACCATTTGAACTTATGATGCAAAGCATTGGAAACTAATTTTACAAACTAAATAAGTGATCTATTTTTTTTGATAAGATAAATAAGTGATCTATTAAGCATATAGTACCCAAAAATAATTGTGTCTGTTGAATCTCTTTCTAAAATCCACACCTGGATGGCTACTCCATAATCGTTAAGTCTCTGAACTCTCAGAGCTTCACAAATCATTGTGATGGCTTCAAGGTAATAAAAGTAAAATTATGCTGGGGAAAGTTTTACCTTCTCACGACCATGTTGCTTCTTATCATTCTTATCATCAGATTCTTCCTCAATCAACAAGGAATCAACAAGCTTTTCCCCAACTTTATCCACTTGGCCACCATCTTCCCCCTTAAACTTATCACGCACTGAAAACCCTTCTCTATAACTAACCCTACTCGATTCCAAAAGAAACTCTTCAATATCAAGCTGTTCACGAAGTAACATCTCATTGTCACCACTCAAATGACTGTATTCAGCTTTTAGTTTATCTACATTGTCCTCAACATGCTTCCTCCTACTTCCTAAATCCCGGCTCCCTCCTCCTCTAGGCTTCCCTGAAAACCCTGGAGGCGCTCTTATAGTTTCCATTGATGAGGGAGGCCTGTAATTCCCAACATTCTGCCGTTGCTTTCCTCTTTCAACAGAATTTTGATGTTGAAAGGCATATGGACTCGAATTTGGATTGGAATTAAGCATTGAAACCGATTGCTGTTCCGAGACCGATAGATCCAACTTCGGTGTTTCAAGCAAAAATTCCCATCAAGTAAACCCTCGCGCTTCTGCAGGATTTGAATATCACTAGGAAAAGAACCAAAGAGGAGTTTTTTCTGCTGGATTACGTGACTGTTATTATTATCAACACCTGGAAACCCCGACCTTCTCAAGTCAACGTTTAAAGGTCCTTGATTACCGACTAATTGGTTTCCCGATGAAGAGGGAAACCCTAGAAAATTAAGCGCCAAAGGCGGAGGGTTTGTTTGCGACCGCGGAGTCTGGAGATCACGTCCGTTCGACGGCCAAGATGGCGGCAAAGGGAGTGCGCGCCCAACAGCTGCAACGGCAGGATCTAAGGGCAGCGGCTGCTGCTGTTGTTGCGGTTGAGGTATGAGCATGGCAGTAACACTAGACAGTGATGGAGAATGTTGTTGTTGCTTTGAATGAGGCTTTTGCAGTAAGGAAAGAAGGAATTCGCCACCATTGGCAGTGAGTGCCGGTGGCGCGTCGCCACCTCCGCCGGACATCGAAGCTAGTTTCTCTAACACTTCGGTATGATCGATTGGCCAAGCGAGACGTGAAAACCTATCAAGCTATCTGATTCAGCTAAAAGATAATACTGAAAATTTTGTGTGTTTAAAATAATCGTATCTAAAATCTTAAATCTGGGGAACATACAGCTTCATCGACATCGGACAACCGTTGGATCTTTTAGATCAAAGGATGTCGTATGGTGGTATTACGTTTAGATATTGACTTCGAGTGTTTGATCAAAACTCTTAACTCGCCCGCTGTTTGGAATCCGGACTTCGGGCAAGTATTTGTCACCACCGACGAATCATTCGCGTACGATTCCTTAGCTACCAAGTTTATTAAGGGGCGTTTGGTTCAGAGTATCTAATATTATTGAGTGAATGAAATTTCATTCTTTCTTTTAATTGACAAATATTTTTAATTTTTGGTAATAAGTTATTTTCAACAGTGATATTTTGAGAGTAAATTATCAAAAATGTGATTATCATAATTTTTTTAGGTATTGTTACATTCTCGGCGTTTTAAACTAAAAATGCTTTTAATTTTTTTTTTAAAATATCATTCTTTTGTCGTTGAATAAAAAAAAATCAAGGTTAAATTGTAAATTTATCCTTAAACTATTTTAGATTTAAAAAAATCCATAATTAAAATTTTATATAAAGTTAAGAGATTAAAATAAAAATTTATCATTTCATTAAACATATTTATCTTTTTAATTTTATAAAAAAATTATATAAATTTTATGAATTTAAACTTTTTTAAAGAAAATATATAAATTAATTATAGTAATATTATAGTAGAATTCAACTTATTAAAAAATAAATATATAATAAAGACAATTTGGTAAAATATACATTCTAATAATCTTTTATTCATTCAAGTAAACATTGTAATCTTACATTCCTGCTAAACGAACCAAAGACAAAATACAACATTCTAGTAATCATATTTCCGTCGGTAATCTTACATTCCATGGACCAAAAGCACCCTAAGGATTTGTTTCATTGTAACTAGTTTTTGAAAAAGAAATTCTAAAAAATGAATTATAATTTTTAAAAAATGAATTTTGAAAAATATGTTTTGGTATTTGAATGATGTTGTGTAATTTATTTTACGTTGTTGGTAATTTTTACTGGAATTGATTTTTTATTTTTTCAATGAAATGAACATACATTATAATTATTTAATCGCATATTATTTAGTTAATTTTTATATAAACAAATTTACAAAATTATATATATATATATTATAATATTTTATTTTTATAAGTACATCAAATTAAAATCTAATACCACTCATTATTGTATTCAATGGTTCTTATTCAATGACATTTTTAACGTTATTTTTAATACTTTAACTTGCAAATAATTTTTTTATACTTAGAATTCAATTGATTTAATCTTTTTAAAAAATATGTTTCCATAAAAATATATTTTTATACCTACATTAAAAAGGAACAAATGTTGATACAGTATTATATAACATTAAACATTGATATTTAATTGTATTAGTAATACACTACATAAACACAATTAAGACTACAATAAACTAAAACAACAACATTATCTAAGTGCATAACAATTTAACATCACATTAAAGCAAAAAGTTTTAACTTTGGATAAACTTTTGAAACCAAATTTTCCAATGCTTCGTTTTTTCGGTAAATTATTTTACGAGATTTGAGTATATTTTCCTTTTAACTGTAGTTTGATTTCCATTCACCGTAACTGATTTTCCCCAACCACCCGTTTGAAAATAGAGAAAGTGTTTTGAGGAAAATGAAATCCCTCACACAAACAGGCCCTAAAGTTGACTCTCCTTTGTGTTTGACTTTTCCCACCTTTTTTTGAGTATTTGTGTTGATTGTTAAGCAAGTAATTGATAAATATAGTAAAAATGATTAACATCATACGTTTAGTACTTATATTCTTAAAGTTTAATTGCATTGAACCTCATTAAATGATAGTGTGAAATTTAAATTTATTATTAAATTTTAAATATTTTAATTAAATCTGTAAAGTCAATTTTAATTTAATCACATTTGTTTGTTAGTTTAGTTATTAATTTCATAATTGATATTAGTGCAAATTTCAATTTAAAACACATTTTAAGTGCGTAAGTTAAATTATGATATATTAATAAAATAATTTTAGATTTATTTTTTAAGATAAAGAGTTTAAATTCTATGAGAATTTATCAAAGAATTTTTTATGACGCATATCACGATTTTGAGGTGTTGAAATATTGTTAGAATGTCGCGTAGTATATTATAATAGTTGCATGAGTTGAATTTTATTTAATATGAATTGGTTGAAAACGACATGTATTATTACGATAAAGGATAATGTAAGATTGAGATTTACATCAACTATAAAATTAATTCTTTGTCTTTTGTTGTTTAGTGAAATTATTAATGTATTTATAAAATTGGATATGATTTAAAATTATATATATATTTATAATATTATATTTTAAATAAGATATTTTGAGGATAAATTATGAACATGAGTATAAAAAATTAATAAATTGATTGAAGAAAAGAATTGGTAAAAAATACAATTGGATGATTAAATTAAATAAAAATAAAGTTTATAGGTTACATTAAAAAAATAAAAATATATTAATAGAAGAGAAATTAAAGTTACATATATATTCTAAAATAATTGAAGAACGTATATATTAATAAAAATAATTTGGTAAAAAAAATAAATTTAAAATGAATGATAAATGAGAAAAAAATCAAGAGTAAAATCATAAAATAATCGAATTATTTAATTAAAGACCAAACAATGAAGAAGCATTTGAATCACTTAGTCGAGTAAACTGAAGCATTTGAGTTACTTCTTCTACTAGATTGCCCAGTTATTGTCCTGCCCATGAACTTCCCTGCTTTACTCAGTCCACTGCCAAAACTCCCCATGATCCCACCAGAACCACCCGGTGCGGTCGCTGTTGCATCGTCTGCAGCCGTTGTGCTTTGGATAGCTCCAGCCTCTTTCAACTCCTTTTTGGCTTCTAGGATTCTATTCTCTTCTTCCCCCGCCTCCGCCTGTTCCTCCTTGCTAAACAGATGGTACAAAAGCTAAAAGTACAAAACAGATACAATTAGTTAAAATGACATCAAAGCAAAGTCCAAAACAAAATATCTACCTTAAGGGTACAAGTTCCTCTGTCCTTCTTGTCTTTTACTTTAAGTGTATCAAGTGAAGCCAGAAGCCTCAGGTCAACCTCCATGGGTTTCTCTGGTTCCAGCTCACTCAAACGAAGCTTTGCAATTCCTAATCTCCCGTCTTGCCCAATATCCTCGTCGAAAACCTGTTTGAAGCCATAACGAATGTTGCATAAATTGATGGTAGTAAGTATGCAAGCATACATAAACAAAACAGACGGAAAAGAAATCTTGTGAAGTCCACACAGATATGTATCCTACATAAGCATGTGCAATTCAGAAAAAAAAGGTTCATATTGGATATGTTCAATGAAGTTTTTCTGTGTATTTATTTCCATAGAGGATCATATTTCAATATCTATATCCGGAGATGCATATGTCGGGATATTTCAAGAGAAATGAGACAAAAATGTGTTCAAGGTAAAACGTAATCCTTTCAAGAGTATTAAAAAAATTAGAAATTTCCAACGTTGATATTCAATATAAAAGGAGGAAAAGAAAGGGTGGTTCAGAACCTCTACAGTGAGTGATTGTGTCTCTCGGTCTTCTGCAATTAACTCAAAGGTTTCGTTCCAAACAGGATTCAGGTTGTTATCGACGACTTTTGTTTTAAATTTGAAGCGAGGACGAATGTGCACAACCACATAAGGATCAGATTTTCCAATCACCTCCTTGTTCTTTAAATCGTTGGCTTTCACTACCGTAACTTTCAGCATTCCCTCTGGTTTAAGCTCTAGTTCACTGCATAACGAAAGAAGTGACATTCATCCGACAAACGGAAAAGTATCGACATTCAAAAATTAAAAACATTATAAAATTTGATGATTCTTTTTTTGGGATTACCTTGTATCAACTTCTGTACCACCCATTGGAACAACAATTCTGTGCGGCCACTGAAGAGTGTCTGTGAGAATTGACTCCACGATATCCTACAAAATATGACCAAACTGGTCAGCAAAATGAATGAGTGTATCTACGAAATTAAGAATGAAATATCACTGGACTAACATATTTCAAAGAAGTAAAAATAAGCACCAAAAAACTTACATCCATAATGTCTGAAATTCCAGGAATTCCGGTTAAGCTTCCACCAACAGCCTTCAGAGTGTAATCAATTCTAGGTTTTGGCTGATAGGGTTTATGAAAGAATCAGCGATTTCCACAAAAACTATACGACTTCATTCTTCGGAATTTTGATTAAAGCCACTTATAAATAGCATTTCATAGCAGAAATAGAATGAAAACATATAAATTTTGGGGCTAGCAAGCAAAAAGGACACCTACAACGCTGGACATCTTCATGTATAGGAATCACCTATACACTTCAGTAAAAACTATATATAACCACTTCTCTTTCAGAACTTATTCTTCTCCAGATTCAAGACAATCTTACAACAAAGCAAGCCACATGTGCCGTCTATTGCACAATAAAATGTTTTTGTGGAACATCCTGGAAAGTTAGTTAAACCAAAACATCTATACAAATCGAAGCCATTCAGAAATTACTTATTGTTACCTCAGAAAGAAGAGCCACGACGAGTGCTGAAATACAAGGCATCTCAACAGTAAGTTGGAAAATGATTCGAACATTGGAGAAAAACTGAAAATCCTTCAACTGCATAATGAGGAAAGCGATAACAGGAAGCCACAAAAGTACCATCTCATAAGATTCAAAATATAAAGATGGCAAAAATAACATCGTATGCTATAGTGTTTGAAAGGTTGTGCATGACAAGTTTGAAAGGTTGTGCATGACAAGTTTGAAAGTTGTTAATGCCCCAACCTGAATTGGTATTGAAGCAACAGGAGTATCAACCTCTATAACGATATTTGGATCACCACCCCACCGAAAATCAATATCCATCGTGACTTGACCTTTCTTAACGCTCTGCACACGAATACCTGCATTTTCCATAAGTAACCAGGCAGGTAGGAATGCTTAAAAGGACATATATAGATATGCGGCATACATTTACATAACATGTATAAATGAATCCTTGGGATTAATAACATGAAAAGCAGCACTGGTTGAAAGACGGCCATAACAATTGTAAATGGATCTCCTTGATAGAAGATGAAGTTACACCAAGAAAAATCCGTAGATTTATACCTTCAATCTTCGGAGCTACAGTTCCAAGGGACAATTTGCTGAACTTCAGTGAATTAACTCCTGTAGGTCGGTATTCTTCCAAGATCGGTTCAACGGATTCTTTGATAACAGCTGATGCTGCCTGAAAATAAACAAGTTAAACAATATTTGGCTCAAAACTCATCACGGCGAAGCCATTTAAACATATCAGAGGTTTTTAACTCTTCCATTCATTTACCTTTCAAAATTCAATTCCGTTTTTCCACTATAAAAGAATATTTAATTACAAGCCGCGTATAGAGCATTGTCATTATTTTCACTTCAGAAAACACCATAGGTACAGAACGAAGTGCCTAAATCTAATCTGCTATGATGGAAAACCTTTACATGAAAGCCATATTGATAGTTCCTTTTACTTGCATAGTAAATACTCTGAAACTTATAGCAACAAGATACAAGAATAACAAGTAACGTACCTCTGCAACAAAAGGCCATAATTTGCTCAATTGCTTGTTCAACCATTTTGCCTAAAAGAACCAACATAGTGTGACTGTAAGCAAATACATTGCATGAAATCTTAATAAAGAAAACGGGAGCACATTTTTCTATACCAACACATACAGATGTATCTATTCTTTGAAGATGTAATCAAGAGAAGTTTGGTCTCAACAAGTTGAATCAAGTGCGTGGAAACTTACTAACAATCATAGTAGCCTAAAAAGGCTAAAAGTACCAATTAATCTAACAGCATTACATATACCTGTTCATAGACAGGGAATGATATCCATTCAGGATAATTATCACCACAGATTTTCCTAAGATCATCTCTACTGAGAGACCCAAGAGTTCTTATATCAATTGCCTGACAAATAAGACAAATATAAAGGTTAATAAGCATTTAAAAAGACTAATGCAATCAAAAGTTTAAAATTGACCAAATCAGAAGATCTAAATTACCCTAATGAAAAGTTCCGTTTCCATTAAGACGAACTAAAGTGCAACCCATTACCTAACTGAAAAGGCAGGGACATATGCTTTTCCCGCATATTTTTTGCATCAAACTCTTAATGTATAATGAATGTAGACAATTGATGAGAAAATTGTTCAGAATTTGGCATAAAAAAAAGATATTGTAAAACCACCTTATAATGCTTAATTAGTTTATAATTAGTAATTACTGCCGACCGCATGTAATCATATTCTAAATTAACTTGGTAAAAAATAATTCCTTCTCCTCGAGGATGCTTCTGCTGACACAGTTCCTTCAAGAAATACTCAAACTTCAACCAAACAACCAAGTATATCTACTGATAACAAATGCAGGTTGTTTAATGAGTCGATCTCTACACTGTGCAATAAAGCTATTCCTTACACTCCGTTCAAAACACAACACCTTTTGGCCAGGTTGGTCTAGGTGGTAAATCAAATATATTCATTGGGCTCCTATTGATAACAGACAACTGCCTTAATGCTCTTCATAAACGTACAATATCTCTTAAAGAAAACTCTTATGATTCAAAGCCCTATAAGGCAAACTTTTAAGTACACTGTCAAGAACACAAAATCTTGACAATTAAAACAGGAAAATTCAAGACAAACAGCTGAAAGCATGACATTGAATTGATGGATTGGAGTATAACACGGGGAAAATAGAAATGAACTTACTCAGGCTTCATACGGATGCGATCCAAATGAAGCATCTACCTTTTTTCAATAACTTTAGAATTCTCTTCAATTCATTTCATCAATCAATGGAAATAGCAACAATTAACGAGGAGATCGAAGATCAACGGATTGTGATGACTTAAGCAAAGGAATAAGAAACTGAATTAATCAAAGAAAACAAATAAATTACCTTTGAGATTCGCTTGTTGCTTCGGTACTTCATCATTTGAAGCAAGCCAAACATCAATGAAACTCCGAAGAGTATCCCCATCAAAATCCCCGAAATCAACCCCATTTTCCTAGAATTCATACTGAAACATCAAGAAAAACGCAAGCATGTGCGTGCGTATATAAAACAAAGAAAATGATTTCAAATTCGAAACAAAAAAGTTACAGAAATGTTGTAGATCGGATAAGAGATTACTGATAATTAGTTTGTGTTTATTGAACGTTGAAACTGTCTCGCTTGATATCATTCAAAAAAATTAAAATATTAACATCATCAAAAATTTCATTTGGATCCAAATAAAAGATGTCATCATCAAACAAGATGGACGTAGCCGTTGGGCAGCTGAAAGGATTGAAATGAAGAAGATTGAAAAAAATCAAGTAATGTAGGACGTAGTTAGGGAATGTAGACGAATTAAACAGCAATGAAGAGAGAGAGCCTTTCTCCTTCCTCTTGCCTTTGAAATTTCTCTCCCTTTATTTCTAGTAATCGCACGTCTAAGGCATCTAGCGTGTTTGTTTCCAACTCCATTGCAGCAGATTTGATTAGATTATCAGGAAATATTTCAAAAAAAAATTACTTTCACTAAACGTGGGATGGACATGGGTTCCCAACGGTGAATTTTGATCTTATACTCATGTGATGATACATTTTAATCATTATTATTTTTATATTGAACGCTTGAATTTGTTAGTATCTGTCATGTATTTAAACCAATATAATATTTTCATTAAAATGTTTTAGAATATTGTATTTTCTTTTATTATTGTTTTTTAAACCAATATACATTAATAATGTATAATACAGATTTTCATATATAAAACATACACAAACTTGATTAATCTTTTAGTAAAGTACAGAAGATATATTCATGCAGTTATACATCACGCACAATGGGAGTTACAAATTGTTTTCCTTTCACTAAACAAAGCTTAAAAAACAAAAACCAGTGAATTATGTCTTCTATATTGGCTTTCTCTTGGAAACTTGTTCAAGCTCTAACTCACTTCCTGGTGTAGCCGGTCGAGTCTCTTCTTGGTGCGGACGCCGATAAAGATGGTAGACCCCACTGATGCACAAAATCCAGAGACGTTGAATATTATCTGTTCGGGAGTAAGACTCCTGTATTGTGTCGCCTCTGCAAATGATCGTATCAAAATCCCACTACAAAAAAAAAAAAAAGTCAAACGGTTGGTTTTACACAAAATTATGGTTTAAGACTTTAATCAATGATGTGGGATGTTGTAACCTGTAGAGTGCAATGAAAACTTCAGGCAACATCCCCAGCCAAGTCCCCATCAAGTAAGGAATGTAACGGACGTTGGTAGCCCAAGCGGCGTAGTTAAACAAAATGTAGGGTAATGGACTGATCCTAATCAACGTAACAGTTCGAAACTGATGAAACCAGTTCCCTTCGCCGGCGAGTCTCAGTATCGAAGCTTCCTTTGGATATTTCTCTAACAACCGCTACGTTATAACAACAAGAGATTTCAGTAATCTGATTGTTGTTGAAAAACTAGACAGACTCAAACCTCAGGAGAAGTTGTAGGAAATGGAGTTTTGAAACTCACTTGAATTCTGGTGTGGAAGACAGAACCAACAAAGTAAGGTAATGATACACCTACAGAAACCCCGGCCATGACCAGTACCATTCCTTTTACGTATCCGTAAGCCATTCCAGCCACCCACATTGAAGGTGTTGACGGCAAACATATGGTTGGAAATACAGCTAATGTAGCTATGATCACAATTATTCTCTGTGTTGTTGAACGCACGGGCCTCCCATTGTAAAGCCGGGACAACCACCTGCCGTCGTACAAGTATTAATCTATTCGGATTCTAAAATTTCTTTTGAGTTAACATCTATAATTTCTTGTAATTTCTCTTGTAATTTCTTATTTCTCGTCTCCTTCCCGGTTTCCAGTTCATTCACATTCATCACTAATTAAACTGTCTTGGTTTAATCTGGTTTCTAAAGCAGCGATGAGTGGGTCGAGCTATGAATCCTTAGCCTTGGATGGGACGAGAGCATGCTAAAAGTCTAAAATCATGTTTCAATCTATTGCTAGTGACTAATTGATACAACAATGTTACGATTAAAAGACAGAAAAAGAATGTCGAGGGACAAGTGAATGTAATAGTGGGAGTAAGAGATGTCCATGGATTTCTGGTCTGAAATTTGGTGGCACGGTGATTGTGATTTGGACCACGTTTTCGAGGCTTTGGTGGAGCGTGAAAGCTAGATGCTCTAGCGGCGCTCATCAATGGTGCATGTCAACCCATGATACAATAAGACTATCAAATCAAAGCATGGCTTTGAAAAAAAGGGAAAAGTAACAGAAAATTATCTACATAAGGATTGGCTTTCTTTGAGTAAGATCTTAGTTCGAGTGATCCAAGGTAGAAAACATGGAAAAAATTGCGAGTTAGATTCGATTTCATATTAAATATAAGATATTAAAAAAAATTTGGGAAATAAATGTAGGACAAATTTCTTAAAACTCTCTTTTAACACCAAGTTCTGTAAACTTTTTTTTCTCCTTTGAGTTTTATCATTTGTGAATTTAAATGTATTATTTGATAAGTTTAAGAAACAACTTATCAATATCCTAATTATTACTTGGAAGGAAAAGGCTTCATCTGACACATGCTAATGCAAGAAAGATATGGTCCAAAATTACAAAATTAACTACTACCGAAAACACAGAAGAACGAACACCTTTCCGTGGAAACCAAAGAACGTCCATGACGAAGTACAAGGAAAATCAGTCTAAACAAGCAAATATTCAAATATCCATAGGCATCACCAGTACCATATGTTTCTTTTTTAATAAACAAACGGGTGGACTTTACCTGTCATTCTATAAACGAAAATCTAAAATTGCAGAGTCAAAATCAAGACACTAGCTGCGAGTCCTGAACATTGACAAAAGAAACTAATATCGCCCAACTAAGACAAAATCATCGTCATCAAGCACCTTAACGTCCTTTTCTCCAACAAAGTTCTCCCGCCCAATTTCCTTGACCAGATTAACAAATTCCACCCTCTTTGCCAGTGGAAGAGGTACATACGGTAACCTGAAAACTGGCCTCATGACCCCCAATTGGGCAAGGGCTGTGTTAAGGCCAATGGGGTTAGGCTCCTGGAAGAGCCACTCAATCAGAGGTAAGAGCTTTGCGTTAAGTGAAGGGTTTTTACCACCGAACATGAGCTCACGCATCAAGCCAGGAATCATATTGCTTGTAACAGAAATTACCCCAGTAGCCCCATGGCTCCACCTAGCATCATGGCACTGATCGTCATTCCCACTCCACACTACAATACCATTACCTGTATATTGTCCAATGCGGTCATTTCCAACACACTCCTTGATACCAGCCAAGTTAGGACTCTGTGCTACAGTGTTGATGACACGTGGAGGAATATCTTGGCCGGTTCGTGATGGCACATTGTATATGATGGTAGGCCCCATTGGCAGAACGCTATCAAAGTGAGAAACCAAACCTTCCAGAGAGGTTTTTCCATAGTAAGGATTGATGTGAAGAGCAGCATGCATCCCAACAGCAAAACCTTGTTCAGTGGCATGAATTGCTTCCCTGGTTGAGTTGCTTCCTGTGTTGCCAATCACCTTAACCGATCCACCAAAACAGTTGACAGTATGGCCAATAAGCATTATGTGTTCATCCCAGCTCATCAGCTGACCCTCACCGGTTGTGCCACCAACAATTACCCCTTCAGCACCATTTTCAATCTGCATATTCACCAAGTCATCGTATGCTTCAAGATCAAACCTTCCATCAGGTAGATACGGGGTTTTGATGGCTGTTATCAGTCGAAGAGCTTTTATATCTTCTGCTGATGTCCTGCAAAGCAGAAGGCAGGCAAAATCATCGACAGTGGTGATTCTTACAAAACAGAGCTTCATTTACAACAAATCTAAAGCTACAGATTCACGACAACCATATCACGCAGTGAATATACAATGCATGGCACCATCATCACAGAACTAATACATCTTAGGTATCCACCATGTATGGATGATTACACAAGTACCAACTTCAAACATAAGATGGTAACATGTATGATACCATTCTTCTAATTGAAATTATGCATGGATCAGTATCATGTAGTTCAGTTATGTTAATTTCAGTGCTCCATAATAAAGGTTTGAATAACGGAATTTTGTCAATGGCGCATCCAAAGCTTATTGATTATAGCAGCTATAAGAAAAGACCACAAACAGATACACTAACACCGCAAACATTGACATTTCAAGAAGGAACTCAGGTGGAAATGCAGTTCTATCACAGAAATGGTGAAACTAGGCAAACAAATAACAAATTCCGCCCATTTAAACATCAACCGGATTCAAATAGTGGACAGTTCATTAGTTACCTATTTTTAACCTCGAGACTGCGCATAGGGAGATGGAAATTAGGTATCACTGCTGCTTGCGGGGATCTCCATTTTACATTTATCCTCCTACAAAGCAAGCAAGCAGATCAAATTCCAACCGAAATTTAACTTTCGTTCTCGATAACACCCATCAAGGACTAAATCAAACAAATCCAAGCCATAGCAAATTTTCAATTCATGATACCAAATCAGCCAATAAATAACGTTGATTAATAAACTAGTTAACTAATTTAACGACTACTACAATTAAAAACAAAAGAAGAATAAGAAAAGGAAATGAAAAGAACAATATCTTATCTTAAATAAAAAAAAGTTAAAAAAACCTCTTGTAGTTATCGGTGCGACTGGGACGCGGAAACTGGAACGTAGACTCTCTCAAGCAAGCGCCAAAGCTCTTCAAATTGGCCATTTCTCACCAAACAAACAGATAAACAAAAGCCGAGGTTTAGATGAGCTTGAATTTGAGCTGGGTAGAGGAATGTTTAAACTCTGAAATTAGAAATGTACGAAAATCCGACGGTACGATGAGAGGTTGAATCAATGGATAATAATAGTGGTTAAGGTGGTCGATCGGAAAAAAGACGGCGGAGCTTCTTGAGTGACGGTGATGGTTTGGAGCCATGGCGTCAGTTTCTGGTGATGAGATGGCGGGAAGGATTGTGAATTGTGGGGGAGGGGAAAGGTGAAGAGATTAAGGAAGGCAATGGAGGCTACTGGAAATTATGTGGGCTTTAGGGTTGGAATGGCTTGTCTACTTTGGTAATTTAAGCCCAAAACCCATAGACAAACTATTTCAATGTGATGCATGAGTGAAAATTTCTTAATTTTATACTTTAATATTAGCATTTGACGGTGTTTATTTTTTATTAACAACTATGATGTTTATCTGTATCTTTTTTTTATAATTTAATAATTAATTATGTCTTCTCTAATGGTATTAAGAAATGACTGATTACTATAATTATTCTATTTGAAACTTGTCGTAACCGTCTTTCGGTTGGGCCCTGAAATTAGGCTTCGACTTGAAAAATATGGATTGGAGTCGCCACCGATCATTTTAAAGCGATATTAGGTAGATCGGACACCATCTTACCTGATCTGCGTTGTACCAGAAATATGCCGGGCTCGGGAGTCGGTTACAGTCAAGGAAGGATTAGCACCCTTGAACTGCCCTTTCAGTACCATTTAACTTATCGGTTGTCTTAATTGCGAAAATTAAAATTTAAAAATTCGATCATAATCATTTAACTTTTGATTAATTAAAATTATCCTAAAAAGATCATAAATAAAGTAAAAAATAAATAAATAAAACAAACAAAGACAAAGAGTTAATATAAAAAAATAGAAAGGAAATAAAAGGAAATGAAAAAAAAATAAGAAAAGCAGTACTATATTAGGAATAAATAGTTACTAAAATAAAATAGACATAAAATAAGGTGCCAAAATTAGAAATAAACAAAACAGGAAATATAACATGTTAATGACTAAGTTAAAAATAATGAAATTGAAGTGCTGAAAATGAAATAAATAAAATGTAGAGTTTTAGGGACTGGAATACAAAAGCACGACAATATTTGAGGGGACTTAACTCAATTTTACGCATATATTTGGTGGTAATTATGCAAAACACGACAGGAATTGAGGGGACTTATACGCGAATAACCCAACACTTTAAGTAAAAGATGACAAGAAATTGAGGTACCCTAGGTGAGATTAACCCAAAATCAAAATAAAAACACTTCCTTATCCCCCAAATTCTAATCTACCCGTCATTTCTTTTCAACAAAACTCAATCCCTCTCCTTTCTTTTTTAACTCAAACCAGAGAAGAAATAATCCAAACAACCCCCAAGTCAACATACAAGCTTCAACCGCCCATAGACGTCGACCCTTCGACTTCCGGCGACGCTCCCTCGACATAGGTAAGGTTTCGATCTACCCCTTTATATTTTTTATTATTTGCTGCAACTGAGGTCGTTGGATATTAGAAAACATGGAGGTTATTTATATTCGATATACATGAGCATTTTAGTGTTTTTCTTTTAAAGGAAAAATAAAAATCATATTTTGCTGTAAAAAAATAAAAAATACCGAACTTAAATAGCAAATAAATGCATGAAAAGGAAAATATATTCGAATGTAAAGAAAGAAAACAAATAACCTTGAAAATCTTACTTGTATTTCTTCTGAAAATCCAGCGAAAGTTCCCCCTTTGTATTTTTGTGCTTTTTCGTGTATATTGTCTGTGATTTTGCTGGAAATCTTTGGTCCTCCAAATGATATGGATTACATGTATTTATAATGGAAAAATCAGACTATTTTTAGAATCCTATACAAAATAGACTTCTAAGGCTCTTTGGTTGCTTTTGGTTGTTGTTGTTGACGTTCCTTGCGTCGGAGGATGAGGGGTTGCTGTTGGGTTGTTACACGCGGGCGAAATTAGGTGTCTTCTGCTGCCCCTCTTTGCTCATTATCGTGTAACGAAAATAGAGCAAAGAATAAAAGACACATATTTCGTCCATATCGCATGTCCTCTGTCGTAGAGTTCAAATTTCGATGTTAAGGCTGGTTTGAATCACGAAATGACTCGCTCGTCGTGAGGTCGAGTCCATCTTGAAATGATGTTGAATTAACGACATAGGGATCTGAATCGGAAAGTGACTTCTCGTTGTCGAATTGAAATCAACTTTGGTATTCTTCTCGGTTTAAAGACCTTGATTTTAAAAATTCAACTAGAAAATAGTTTATTGTCTCCACCATGTGGTTGATAGTCCCTCAAAATCGAGCTCAGAAATCTTCGTTGACATATAACTTTTATTGACTTAAGCTATGCTGCTGAAAAACAAATTTTTGTCACTAAGGCACGATTAACCCAAGTCTTCTTCTCGACTTGAAAACCTCGATTGCAGCCGGGCAATAGTGTGATTGAGGTGTCATCGAGCTGAATGGAATCGAATTCAATAATTTTATTGACAGATAGCCCTTCTTGCCTTGAGCTATGCTGTAAATGATGTGCCTTGGAGCTGTGCGTAGTCGAACTCGAGGGTCTTTGGTTGGCATATATCCCTTCTCGACTTAAGCTATGCTGTAAATGATGTGCCTTAGAGCTGAGCATAATCGAACTCAAAGATCTTTTGGTGACAGATAACCCTTCTAGCCTTGAGTTATGCTGTAAATGATGTGCCCTTAAAGGTGAGTTTAATCGAACTCGAGGGTTTGGTGTTTCCAGAGAAACATTTTCAAAGGTTTTTTTGTGTTTCAAGAGAAACAATTTCAAAGATTGAAGTTTCAAGGGGAAACTGTCTCAAGAGAGATAAAATTTTGTTTCAAGGGAACCTATCTCAAGAGAGACAAAATTCATTTCAAGGGAAATTTTTCCAATGTTTATATTTCAAGAGAAACTATCTCAAGAGAGACAAAACTTAGTTCCAAAAGAAAATGTCTCAAGGGAGACGAAATTTGTTTCAAGGGAAATAGATTCAAATATTTTGTTTCAAGGGAAACTGTCTCAAGAGAGACAAAATTTGTTTCAAGGAAAACTGTCTAAAGAGAGACAAAACTTGGAAAATGTCTCAAGAGAGACAATGGTGAGCACGATTCCCTTCGTCGTGAAGTTGAAACCGTAGATGGCCCCTTCGTTGTGAAGTTGAGCCTTTGAATTGGATATCCTTCGTCGTGAAGTTGAAATCTAGTATGTTGTTTCGAGGCCAATATCCTTCACTGTGAAGTTGAAATTGACTTCGAAACTGGAAAGTTTGTTGACAGACACTCCTTCTCTGAGTTGGATATCCTCCGCCATGAAGTTGAAATCCAATATGGAGATGGATGATGCTTTTGTGTACGATTCCCTTCGTCGTGAAGTTGAAACCGTAAGTGGCCCCTTCGTCGTGAATTTGAGCCAGGAATTGGATATCCTTCGTCGTGAAGTTGAAATCCAAGTCAGTTGTATTGTTCCGAGTCCAATATCCTCCACCGTGAAGTTGAAATTGGCTCTGGAACTGGGAAATTGTTTGTTGACAACCAGCCGTCCCTTCGCTGTGAAGTTGAACTTGTGTTGTCTCGAGTCTAATATCCTTCGCTGTGAAGTTGAAATTGGCTTTGAAACTAGGAAGCCCCTTCGTCGTGAAGTTGAGCCTTAAAATGGCACGATATCCTCCGTCGTGGAGTTGAAATCGTGGATGTGTGAGTACGATATCCTCCGTCATGGAGTTGAAATTACGGATGGCCCATTCGTCGTGAAGTTAAGCCTTGACTTGGATATCCTTCGTCGTGAAGTTGAAATCCAAGTATTGTATGTTGCGGGTGGACACGATTCTCTTCGCCGTGAAGTTGAAACTGTGGATGACCCATTTATTGTGAAGTTTGGCTTCGAGCTAGATATCCTTTGTCGTGAAGTTGAAATCTACTCTCATGCAAATTGTGTCGCTTTGAGTCCAATATCCTTCGCTGTGAAGTTGAAATTGACTCTGAATGAAATTGGAAAGTTATTTGTCGATAGACAGTTGCCCCTTCGTTGTGAAGTTGAACAACCACCATCAATTTCTGAATGTTATTTGAATCGAGTATCTTTCGTCTTGAAGTTGAAACTTGACTCTAAAGCTGTAAAAATTATGTATGTGAAAAAAATGATGCTCTAAAATGCATGCATAATGAATCAGTTCTTGTTTTATTCATCGGACAGAATCTCATTTTTTGTCTATTGGCTCCTGTTCGTGGAGGAAAGACCTTCAGAAGATCTGATAATTCACATCAGGATATTGAATTCCCAAAGATGCCCCAATATTCGATGTTGAATCTCAAAAAAATGCCCCAACATTTGATGTTAAATCTCAAAAAATGCCCCAGCATTTGATGTTGAATTTTTAAAGATGCCCTCATTGTTCCTCATTTCTTGCTTCAACATTGATTCTAAGCATGAGCTTTGTGTTTGAGAGCCACATGTCGTTTACCAATATCCACTCTTGAGATATTGTCTTGTTTTGAAAAAAAAATGTTTTTATCTCTTTTTTTATTTTCAAAGTTTTGAAAATATCAAAAAATAGTTTCGAAAAATGTTTAATCAAAAGTTTTGAAAATATTGCCCCTTTCACGGTTTTGCAATTGAGAAAAATCATAAAACTAAAGTTCATTGGATATCAAATAATTAGTTACATTGTTAATCCTTCAATAAATTATAGCTATTTGACACGTGCCAAGATCAAATCTATTTTTGGGAAATGTTTAAGTAAGGAAAGGATAAAAAAGTCTCAGGTTATTGTGTTTGGTCAAAGGTTTGACATTTTTGTTTATTTGATGCCCAAAGGTTTGATGGGGTAGCTTGCATGCTCCTCTATTGGAAGTGTTCTCCGATTCCCAGCTTTCATGGTCACGCTCGGATTGTGCGATGCCTTATCAAGGAATTTGTGCGATCACCTCAGCTGCCCAATTTTTGTATTCAAGTCACCTTTTCAGGTTTTCAACTCGAATCCTCATTTGGTTTCAAGACGTCATTCGTAATTTACGTCTTGAACCCCCTTTGTTATTTTTCTCTATCATACATTAATTACACTATTTTTTGCAAATAACGATTAATCCTGATGGGCGGGATGAAATCTAAAGATATTCTCTTATGTTTAGAAATCAATGTATGATTAGAAGGGACTTTTAAGGCACGTAACGTAGGTCATGGTTTATGGTTATAAAAGAAATGGATAAAAGGCCCAAACAAGTGTTTAAGGGTGATTGAACCAAGGATCAATTCATTCTGATGTATTCAATAATATCTTGCTCAATTTGAATATGCTCGTATGTCTCTCTCTCTTGATGCTCTATGATCTTCGAGTGGAGTGATTCAGTGATTCAAAAATGATTGTGCTTGATCAATCTCATTTGATGCTCTATGATCTTCGAGTGAAGTAGTTCAGTGATTCGGAAATGATTGTGCTTGATCAATCTCATAGTTTGAATCTCGATGCGTCGTTTGAATCGAGAGAATCTTTGCATATGCATCTTGTCTTCTTTTTTCTTCAATTTTCCTTTGTTTTTTCTCTTTTTTTCTTTTTGTTCTGATTGAATCTTCGCACTTGGCATTTGGTTCACCTTTCGGTATCTTATCTGAATCAATGTCTTCACTCATGCGAGCATATTTTCTCCACCTTTCCCAAGTGTGGAGGGTGATCCTTGGTTAGGGTTGAATCAGAAGAAAAATACTATAGGCTCAAAAGGGGACACAAGGGATATATATTTTCTCATGTTGTGAAGGGGTAAAGAAAGAAAGTCATTCATCATTTCATACATAGAAGCTTTCACAGAAGAGGTATCCCCAGGGGGATAGATTTTTAGGATTAATTTTATTCACATGAAAACAGTGTAATTAATGCATGATTGAATTATTTCGAGTGAATTATTCTTTCTGCTTCTTGCCCCCAACATGTCTCAATGTTCAGGCTCCCTGCGAGATGCCCCAAGTTGTGTCTTATAAGAATGCTCATGTTCAAATGAACAACTAAATGCATTGGGTTTTAATGGTATAAAAATGTCAATTTTGAGTCTAAAAAGACAAGGGTGTGACTTTATTGACTCAAAGAAAGGTATGGGTGTATCAAAAAGATAAAGGCATTGTTAAAAAAATTCAAAGGGAGGTAATGTCAAAATTTGGTCTTTTTGGTAATGACCATGAGTTATTTTGGGTAAAGAATCAAGGTATTTTATTTTGGGGTTTGAGACAGGATAAGAAAGGTTTAATCTTATCATATATCAAAAATCTATAATTCTTACAGAATTAAAAGAATCTTTAATTCATTTAATATTCGAAGAACTAAATATTAAAATTTGTTCAATTGCTCCACCTTAAAAAGTAGCATAAATTCAATCATTTAAAATATTAAGCAAACATAAAAGATCAAAGACGTGTTCAAACAAAACAATCCTCTAAGTGCAAATGATATATGCAAGCCCCCTTCTTCGGCTGTCCATGCCCCTGAATCCATCAGGTTTTGGATCTTGCGCTTCAGCGCCTTATAGTTCTCAGAGGAATGTTTGGAGTATCCTATGTGTCAATTGCAAACAACTTCAACATCGTAGCCCTTAGGATATGTGGACTCTTTTCTCAGATCATCCTGACAGGCTTAGTCGTACAACCAGCTGATCGAGCTCATTCGTTGTGATTTCAGTTTTTTTCTTTTGATGTTACAATCTTGTTTCCACGTGGTGTCATGTGGTTAAAACCACTTCATCGAATTCTCCATGAAGAAATTTCATATTTATGAAAATGCTTAAAAAATGAAATGTAGATGCAAAATGCAAAATGCAAAAATGTATGAAATGTTCGAGGCATTGATCCAAAAACATGTTTTTTATTATAAATAATCTTTATTGGGACAAAAGTGTTTTATCTTTTAAGAGACAATAAACATATTTAAAGGTACATCCAGACTAAATCCCCTAGACCCGGAACAGGTTGACTAGTCATTTGCCTTCGTCTTTCACCGGTTGAATAACCTGTCGAACCGCACCGGCCTCTCTGGATGAACAGTGAAAATGTTGAGTTATTTTTTGTACTGGTCCCCAAAAGTATCGAATGACTGCATCTATGGCTTTCATCCTTTGCTGAATCGAAAACTCCATTGAAATCCTCCATCAAAGGGATTATCTGAAGTTCATTTGCTTGTTTCTTGAATTTGTCGACAGTGACTTGTCATCTTGTTCTTGTTGTCTTTGAATGGACTCTCGAGGTTAGTAACCTTTTTCTCTTCTTTCCCCTACCACCTTTGTGAACCTATTTTTGAAAAGTTAACTTTTGATGTACTTGATTATGGGCACCACATCTTCTTGATCGAATGTGACATATAGTTGCCTTGCAAATTGTCCTCCTTTTCTTTCTGAGTATTTTCTGACCATAGTCGGACCCTTGCGTTCTTCATCTCTTGTATTACAACCCTTTTGTCCATTAATGCAAATTGTTTATGGTTAACGAACACGTTTTTTTGGTGGATCAACATCTTTTAAATGATGCAAATGATGAAAACGAAATAAAAGAGAACAAAAAGAGTTAGTGAGGTAAATCAAAATAATAAAAAGAAAATCCTACCCCACATGATATCTACCTCACATGCTTATTATTCCTACCCATACATGATCTCTATCCCGCATGCTAATTTCAAACAAATGCTAACCGCATATTCGTCTAGTTCTCATGCTTTAAAAAGAAAGTAAAGCATGAAATAAAATTAAAGCAACCTAGGGTTTGGAATGAGATTTTGGGGTGGGCTCTAATTCCTTGTACTATCCCGGTTTAGGTTCTAAAAAGGTATCCGAGTTCTCCTTGCTGGTGCCCCCTTGGGCTTGCCAGACCCTTAATTCTAAGCTCATTACAAGCTTGTGTGGACTAAGTTAAACTCGAGAGGAAACATTCTCTTATGCCCGCACGGTGAATAAATTCACACGAAGACATAAAGTATATGAATCCCAAAGGCTACTTGCTAGGCCCGCACGGTGAATAAATTCACATGAAGGCGTCGCTTTTACCCCCACTTAAATAGGGTTTGGAGCTCGGGTATAGAGCATGAGATGAAAATTTTGAAAATCTGAAATCATTAAAAAAAAAAGTCAGTACAACTATTTACTTGAAAAATAATCAAAGGTAAATAATTAGAATCGAATAAATAAATTTAAATTTATAACTTTCGCTCAAAATGACAACCAAAAATTAATTTCGGCCTGACTCACATACCTGTCCCCAGCGGAGTCGCCAAGCTGTCTTAACCGTCTTTCGATTGGGCCCCAGAATTGGGCTTCGACTTGAAAATTGTGGATTGGAGTCGCCACTGATCATTTTAAAGCGATATTAGGTAGATCGAACATCATCTTACCTGATCTGCGTTGTACCAGAAATACGTCGGGCTCGGGAGTCGGTTACAGTCAAGGAATGATTGACACCCTTGAACTGCTCTTTCGGTACAATTTAACTTATCAGTTGTCTTAATTGCGAAAATTAAAATTAAAATTTAAAAATTCGATCATAATCATTTACCTTTTGATTAATTAAAATTATCCTAAAAAAAATCATAAATAAAGTAAAAAAATAAATAAATAAAACAAACAAACAAAGACAAAGAGTTAATATACAAAATAAAAAATAGAAAGGAAATAAAAGGAAATGAAAAAAAAGAAAAGCAATACTATATCAGGAATAAATAGTTACTAAAATAAAATAGAAATAAAATATGGTGCCAAAATTAGAAATAAACAAAACAGGAAATATAACATGTTAGTGACTAAGTTAAAAATAATGAAATTGAAGTGCTGAAAATGAAATAAATAAAATGTAGAGTTTTAGGGACTGGAATGTAAAAGAACGACAACATTTGAGGGGACTTAACTCAATTTTACGCATATATTTAGTGGTCATTATGCACAACACGACAAGAATTGAGGGGACTTATACGCGAATAACCTAACACTTTAAGTAAAAGATGACAAGAAATTGAGGTACCCTAGGTGAGATTAACCCAAAATCAAAATAAAAACACTTCCTTATCCCCCAAATTCTAATCTGTGCGTCATTTCTTTTCAACAAAATTCAATCCCTCTCTTTCTTTTTTAACTCAAACCAGAGAAGAAATAATCCAAACAACCCCCAAGCCAACATACAAGCTTCAACCGCCCATAGACGTCGACCCTTCGACTTCCGGCGACGCTCCCTCGACACAGGTAAGGTTTCGATCTACCCCTTTATATTTTTTATTATTTGCTGCAACTGAGATCGTTGGATATTAGAAAATATGGTGGTTATTTATATTCGATATACATGAGCATTTTAGTGTTTTTCTTTTAAAGGAAAAATAAAAATCATATTTTGCTGTAAAAAAATAATAAAAAAAAATACCAAACTTAAATAGCAAATAAATGCAAAGGAAAATATATTCGAATGTAAAGAAAAAAACCAAATAACCTTGAAAATATTGTTTGTATTTCTTCTGAAAATCCAGCGAAAGTTCCCCTTTGTATTTTTGTGCTTTTTCGTGTATATTGTCTGTGATTTTGCTGGAAATCTTCTGTCCTCCAAATGATATGGATTACATATATTTATAATGGAAAAATCAGACTATTTTTAGAATCCTATACAAAATAGACTTCTAATGCTCTTTGATTGCTTTTGGTTGTTGGTGTTGACGTTCCTTGCGCCGGAGGATGTAGGGCTGCTGTTGAGTTGTTACACGCAGACGAAATTAGGTGTCTTCAAAACTCAAATTACTTTGGATACAGATCCCGAAATCCATAATCATTTTCCTTGTCCCAAAAAACATTTATAAGTTTGATTATCTACCTTTTAATTTCGAAAGGCCAGTTTTGAATCCTGGTTTAGAGGCAAAGTGGGCCTCCATTATCATCCGCTTCTAAATAAGCAAAATGGGTAAACTTTCCAGCACTCTTGAGACTATGCATATATATAGTGAGAGTTTGATCCATTTGGATGCTTTGCCCTTCGGGTTGCATGATATATCTACCAGAAAAGGAAAAGGAAAAACAGCGAAACCTTAATTATTTTATTTATATAGGTATAATGAGGATTGCTGCTACCGATGAAGAACAAGAACATGACATTATCTCAAACTACATTATTAGACATGTATGTTTGGTCCACCCAACTTACCTCCAAGTTGCGGATAAAGCCTATGAGCTGTGACCTATATTTTTATATTACGTTGTTGAAACCTTGTACTGATCGTCACCAAACTTGGCAAAAACAAATGCACACGACTTTATCAGTTTTAGTAGGTAAATTTATAAATTAAATGTTAATATTCCCCTAAATTGTAAAATATGCAACAGAATTCAATGAAATTATGATAAAAATACCAATACATTTGGGATATTAGTTCCACGCCACTAATAAATCGAAAGATATTAAACAATTAAATATGCCAACCTCACTTTTTTTTTAAAAATGAATGGCTCGTTTAGAGATGGAGATCGAATTAGGGTAGAATCCATTTTAGAATATACATGCACCCTCTACATTTTACTTTTATTTCTTCTTCTTCTTCTTCTTTTTTTTCCCTTCTGTTTTATACGATCATGTGCTTCTTGCTCATTATTTTATGGTTTCAACTTTTTGTTCATTCACATATATTTTATGTCTCTAAATTTTGTTTTGATGTTAACATTATCCCCGTAAAAAAATAGATGCATTTTATAAAAAGAATAACGATGTCACAAATGACTCGAGGAGGATGTTGAAGTTCAATTTAGAGTAATGGTTTGATTTAAGTTGTTTCGCTTATTATTTGACTACTATGATATTCTATCCTCCCTATTCTTTCAAGTAATTTTTATTCGGAGGTGAGGGAATTTGGGAAATGAGAAGAAGATAAAGGTCGAATCGAAAAGCTCATGGTGAATGAAATATATAATATAACAAGTTGTGGTTGAGGCAATCGAAATTTCGATCAACCTCGTCTTATTTCTCTCCCTAGATTCAATAAACTATTACATCAATGTTGTATTTGTAAAAACTAATATACGATGTTATATTAATAAAATTAAAATTATGAAATAAATAATTTTTAGAGACATTTTTTATTCAGATTACTTGAATTTTAAATATATACCAAATACTTTTATAGCATAGACTAATATTTATCTATAAAATTCAAAGTTGAAAACTTAATTTTTCAAATTGTTTAGCAACACTCAACTTTTTGATAAAAAAAAAACAACACTCAACTTACTCATTCACTTGTAACGCATAATATATATCCATTGAAAACCATATCCCTTAACCAATAGGAACCTAAGTTGCTGCTTTACATGGAAATGGTTACTTCGAGAAGAAGCTTTTTCTTTTATGTTATTTACAGAGCAGCGCACCCAATGTTCATGTCTGATTCCACAGACCCTAATGCCCATAACCTAATTTCTTCATCTCATCTTTTGCCCCCACCTTAAAAAAGAACCAATATATATCTTCCTGATCTCATCTAATTTAATTTCTAATTATTCTTACATCAAAATATATAAAAAAAAATCCTTAAAATTTTAAGTATTCCTTTTTGTTTAAAGACTTGGCTCGTGTAAAAGAATCTGAAACTTAAAAGTATTAGTATATGAATAAAAAGGAACCCTAAGTGCCTTTCTTTTGTTCTTAATTTGCTGGAAGAACGAGGAAGAGGCAAGCTAAAAGGAATGGAGAGATAAATGACAGCCATCTTCTGGTGCTTCTTCAACCTTAAGGCTTAAGCTAAGCTACTATAAAAGAGGACAACTGGAAAAGGCTATGTCTTTATAAAATACTACTGAGAATAATAATAAACACCCATCACAGTGAAATCCATGTGATTTGTACATCCTCCTTCAAATCAAAGCCAGGTGAATACCATATCCAATATACTTAAATTAAAACACCAACTATCTTATAGAAGAAGAAGAATGAAAAAGGTTATCAAAAGGTCAAACTAACAAGAGAAGGAGGGGGGGGGGGACAGAAAGTTTTTGTTTTATTAATAAGGAGGACGACCTGTGCCCTCGTTTAGCAAATGGACTGAATTTAGAAGATTTGGTGGCAACCCTTGAGGAAAATATCCATTGGGATCTTGCAGTAGTTGTTGTTGTGGCTGCTGTTGCGGCTGACTAACCATGCTTCCGGGTGACCCTAAGGGTCCACTTCCAGGAACTGGCGCGGCTGGCGTTTCTTCTTCTTCCAACGGAAGCCTTTCGTACGCTGCATTACCGAAAGAAGTTACCATAATCACCACGGGGCCTGAAGCAACGAGTTGACCCATCACGGCTCCCCCAACTACCTGACCTCTACCGCCGGCTAAGTATATTGTCAGCGCTGATGCAGCCGGTGGTGCCGGAGGAGGTAAGAATGACCCGGATATTGATAAAATTTCAAATCTTCCCTGTAAATTGACGACCGCTCCGGGAGCTCCGGGTTGCCTTAAGGTTACACTCATTACAGTTCCGCTTCCACTCAAAATATAAACCCCTCTTTGTCTTCGCCTAGCGAAAGTCGAAACACTCTCCATAATATCACAGCCGGTGGCAATTTCCATAACGTGGGATCGGAGGGCATTGGCGCTATCCCGGGTTATGAAGATAGGTGACTTAGGCTTGTTCTTGGAACCCGCTGGCCTGCCTCGTGGTCTTCTCGAGATTTCACCTTCTGTTCCCGGGACTACAGCTAGTTCTTTGCCTTCGCTCGTGTCGGTAGTGGTGGCCGTTTCTTCTCGATCCCGTTTCTGGCCACGGTTTTGTTCATCCTCGGGGTTTTGATGTTGTTGCTGTTGGTGGTGGTGCTGTTCAAATTGCTGGTGCGGATTTAGATGAAGATCTCGCATGAGGAAAGGAGGAAGAGGGCGTCCATGAGCTGTTACTGGATCCATTTCATTCTTCTTCCCTTCCGAGTTCAAACACTACTTCGTAAACAGTTTGCTAAACACACACAAGATAACCGACAGGATTTTGATCGAGAAAGAAAAGGTCTTCTGAGGATTGAATAACTGCAGGTTTCAACAAGAAAGTGGAAGAAAAGGGGTTTGAAGCATCTGCCACCAAATTTTCAGCTGAAAAAACTCAATCAAATCAACCCATATTTCTTCTCTCTAGTACTCTTCATGTGAGTTGGGATCTGTGTATCTCTTGTATGAAGATAAGTTGTAGGTTAAGGGTTTGGGAGGAAATGAGGAAGAAAAGGGTGGGATAAGAAAATAGGCAAAAATGGTACAAGGGGAGAGCTTATGGGTTTGAGTTTATGTGGGTTGTGCTTGTTTGGGTACAATGTTGTTGGGTTTAGGGTTTGGTCAAAAGCATAGAAAAAAATGAGTTTAGTTCTTGGTTAAGACAGCGTGTGCATGGCATGGGCGGTGCGTGGGGTCTCCTCTCTCTCTCTCCCCATGGTGGCCCCAACACCCCACGTTCTCTCCTTTCTCCCTCTTTCAATATCTCAATCTTCACTTGAGATTTGAGAATTAAAAGCCTGCAGTATAAGATCATACTGTCTTTAGTTTACTTGCTCAAGCCTCTTCGTCTCTTATTCCCTTTCACTCTCTGTAAAGTTCAACAGCTATCACTAAAATTTGAGTCTTTCAAGTTTCAAGTCGCCAAAAAGTTGTGTACTTTCAACTTGAAACAAGTCCTTTGAGAATGACATGGCTGCTCTACAGGTTCCTTAAGCGGTATAGTAGAGAATTTTGTTCGGCCATAAGGTCTCTTTCACGGGACTATTGGTTTCACCGTCCAAACCATATCATATATCATATATGCTGTCTAAACCAACAATAAGCGATGAAACAAAAGCATGCGGTTCCCGAAGGAATAAAACTAAGACAAGTATGATAAAACACGTGCGGACTGTAAAAGTTTTAAAGATTGCTTCATGAATATTAATGCTCTCGACTTCTTGTTGTTTATAAAAATGAAAACTGCTGGGATTTCTGGTTTATTACTGTATATTTTATTAATTCCGCTGACTAGCTCAGAGAAAGTGAGAATGTGTGAGAAGACCGAAGACTGGAAGAGGCGTTATTGTGGTTGGAAAATGACAGTGGTGAAACAAAAACTGAAAGAAGGTGGTCATCAGTAGAGAATTGATATAGCTATAACGTTACGAAATGTGGCGTCCTTTCCTTCATCAAGTATGCGGTAAATCGGTGGAAGAAGTTGGTTGGGGTTGGGGGGGGGTGAGTCCATTAATGGAGGGAAAGGGGTTGGTGCATGTGGGTCATGGGAAAATGGAGATGGACCAACTCGAATAAAAAATGGAAAAGGGTCATGAGAGTAGGAGCGTGTCTTAAGGGGGACTCTCGTTTATAGGAATATTAAGATTATGATTGATTAGTATAGTTGATGGCTTGATGTTTATTGGAAATTAATTGCTTCCGTTTACATTTTACTTGGTAGTAATGTCTATTGAAACGTGAATAAACTATTCTGATTTCAAAGTGATGGTACGAAATAGGTTGTTTGTGAATGAAATTCCTTTATGACAAGGATGGCTCAAGTTGATATAACGTCACACCTTGGCTCCCATCCAACTCATTAATATCAACTTGTTTATTATTAAATGTGAGCAAAGCTAATCCATCAAGAAAGTGGACCGCCTCAATGTGAAAACAAGATTAAAAAAAACTAAGGGTTTGGATTCCATGTGAATCTACCATCTTATGCTGCATGTTCTCCCTCTCAAAGACGCTGTTTTGATAGCCAAAGTGGTTCTGCTTGCAATGCCGTGCCAATCGAAAGCTTTTAAATTGCTTATTATTTAATTAATCAGAACGCACCACATCGAGCAGTGGGGGAATTTTTTAGGAGGCTAAAACAGCCGACTGAAATGAGGTTTTCCATGTGATTGATTGAAAGCGATTGTTTTGGAATCTCTTAACCTGCTTGCGACCACTTGTTTAATTAATTCAATCACTGTGGTCTTTTAAAAAGATTATTATGTTATCTTTTAATTCTCCTTCTATGTTCCGGTTTCTACCTATTGATCATTTGATTCTCCTTTTCAGCACTCAGTTTCAAATGAATATAAGTCTTATTAACGCACGAAGTTACCCTTTTTCACTATTTTTAAATAGTAAAACAAATAATTGTTTTATCAGTTAATACTAACAGTTAATTCTATTTATTAAATAAATAAAAGAGGAATACAACATAGGTTATAAGAACTATAAAATTAGAATATATCGTATATCGCATCATATAAACTGATTATTTTCCTTACAATTACCAAAGTGCATGAAGTAGTCACTAAACGATAACATAGGATCATATAGGAAGAGTGTTAAAAGTCGATCAAATAACTCAAAAAAATTATCGATGTAAACAAACATCACTCTAGATGGTGAAAAATGAACATCATTACCACTAAAATAGAAATGCATCTAACGTTGGCAGCACGTTGACAAACAAGTTTTATAACAAACTCAACTAGTACCTATCCTAATAATTGTAAGCGTCTATTAATAGAAATGACTTAATCTAAGAGTTTAAAGCAGGGGAGAACATTAAGATAACTTCAATTGGAGATGTAATGTCAAATTTAGTCCAAATAAAAGAGAAGGCATATTATAAGAGTAAACGAAAAACATACCACAAGGGCTGACAAAATTATTCACAATGTTTATAAGGAATAGATAAACTAATTAAACAACTTAAAATAAAATAAATGTACGATAAAGGTTATTACAAAGCGAGTAGAAAGAAAACAAAGGGAAGGGAGGAAAGAAAAAGAAATATAAAACGCATTAATCACAATGTTTAATATCATCAATAATAAAATTTTAATATGATTTAAAAGAATAACACTATGAAAGGGGGGGAAATCTATTACGATTAGGATTTTATTAATAATTAATAAAACATATAATAAGATCAATTGCTCGTTGGTTAACAAAACGTTAGAACAAGAATCAAACTTAAACTTCCCCAGTCAATAAGAAAAACCTAGTTACCAACTTATGAATGAAGGGAAATTGAAAAACTATAAATTAATTATGATTTAGCGTGGCCTAGGAACTTTATGGTTTTAATTATGTCTGCTAGGACAAGGTATACATCTTAGGTGCTGATGTAATTAAATATAAAGAAGGTGAACCATTTTAATTTGCCAAACTTGTAATAAAAACATTATCCATCCAGAAATTAAACTCTTTTAAAAGACAATAAAATACAACAGATTTGTCTGTTTACATTGAGGCGGGTTGGCAAAGAATGAAGGCTCTCGAGGTGGAATCGGATTGTTAGGTAGTTCTTAATTGGATCACTCTTCCTTTAACGAGACCGTAGAAATGGTGGGGGTACTTCGACGAGGTGGACATACTGGTAAGAACAATTGGTCAAATGAAGTTTCTTTATGTTCAAAGAGCTCGTAATGGGATGACAGACTTTCTAGCAAAACAAAGTATGTCAAGGACTGAATTATTTAAAGCATGGTGGTAGTAGTTTTCGTTCCGCTGGTCTGTCTGCAATCTTTTATGGTTGGCGATGCCAATTTTACTCATAGCAAAGGGGTTGTTTCCTGATGGGTGATTTCTGATGTGAGAAGCAGAGTTAAGTTTAATTATTTTCTGTTTAGATTGGCTGTGCTATGCATTCCTTGATTGTAAGTAGTGTAGTTTAATGGTTGTATTATGGTTTTGGATATTGTGATCATTTGTTTCCCCCCGGTTATCGGTACTCTTTTCCTCTATTTAGGCGTAGGAATGATTTTAACGAGGTCATAACCTGGAAGGCAAAAACTGTTAAGTTTTTAATCAATAAATTAGTTGCAGAGCAAAAAAAATGTTAAGTTTTTAATGAATAAATTGATTGTGAAGAAAAAAAAATAAATACAATAGATTGCCCTTAGTCTCCACACATATATATATATAAACAAATCCCTATAAATTTTGGTTCCCACATATATGGGAGTGCTGATTATTGTTAGGAACCTTCTATCAATAATTGTGGCATGTAACAACCCGGAATAAAATTTAGAGAAAAAAAAATTAATTAAGTAATTTGGCAAAATTTGATGATTAAATCGAAAGTTTTCAAAATTGTAGGCTATTTTAGAAGTTAAAGGAAATTCAGGGACCAAGCCCTGCATTACTCCTTTTAGTGTCGGCAGAAAATTTCATATAAACGTAAGAATGGTTTTCTGTTTTCAAAACAGAAAACAATTGTGAAATTCTTCCTCACGCACACAACTTCCAAACTCGATTCCGACGCCGTCCGAATTCCGATCGTTGTTTTGAAACCACCGTTGTGTTCATCATTGAGCGAGGAGCAAAACCTTCAAATTAATTGAAGCGAAACGCGGCCAAACGTCGGGAATTTCCAGTCAAAGTAGCGACGGTTTTGTTAGCTCTATCGCCGAGAAAATCTTAAATTCACCGCTGATCGTTGCTCTGTTTACGACACCTCCCGCACCATCGTGTTCCTTGTGCCGTTCCGAGTTCACCGGTGTCAATCTTGTCCGCCGTAGACGGCGGCGCGTGAGGAGGTGGTGCAGTCAAAGATTCGGCCGATTTGAAATCGAGCTCTCCGCCGTTCAAAAATTTGAACCGATCGTTGTAAGTATCTCGAAATCGCTCAAAATAATTTTTAGAAATTTTTTCGGGATTTTTAGGGCCCCGGAGGACGCCTCACGCGCCACACGCGCCGCCGCAGGGCGAGTGGCTGCTGGAAACCGGTTTAACCGGTTTTCAACCGGTTCTGACCGGTTTGACCGGTTTCAACCGGTTCGAACCGGTTTGACCGGTCTGTCTCGGTTTGACCGGTCTGACCCGACCCGACCGTTGACCCGACCCGACCCGACCGTTGACCGTTGACCGTTGACTTTCTTTGACCAAAACTTAAAATGGCTTTGACCGAGCATTAAACGACCGTTAATCTTTTCCGAGTATACCTATCCTGATAGTTTTCGACATGCCGAATCCGTTTCCGTGGTCCGTTTTGTCAAATTCGAATCCGAAGGTCTCCAAATCTACTGTCAAAGTGGTTGACTTTGACTTTGACCAAGAATCTGAATTTTCAAAAAGTCATACTTTATGTTTTTCGACGTCCTGATTCCGATTCCGCAATCCGTTTGGCCAAATTCAGACTCGAAATACCCCAAAATGATAGTCAAACCCGAAAAATGCTTATATACTTAAGAATTCTAGCTTTGAACAATTAAGTAAGATTTGGGGCTGATTAATTATTATTGTTTGAAGGTACAAGAGACTCTCCGGATCGTTCGATAGCTCGACCCAACTCTTCTAGATCAGTTAAACCACGTATACCA